TGCAAGGATAATTTTGAATGGTCTTTAATGTAGAAATGTCACATTATGTTGAAGTTTCGACATCTACTAGAAGCGGTGAACTAAGCAAGCTAACCAGCCAAGCCTTGGCCCCCAGATCCTAGCAATAGTACAGAGTGGCTGTGTTCAGAACAGAATACTATGTGCACTGTACAGTGTGCACTGCATACTATTTTGCATTACGCAGCGATTAACATACGAATTGCCAGTCCAAGCAAATTGAGCATGAGTATGCTATTTACATAAACAATCATTGCTAAGAGATAAACAGGAATGTCTAGTTAGCTTGTTATCATTTGATCTCGGCAGAAACAGAATGATCAAGGGCGCATTGGCGTTTTGTTGATGCGTAACTAACTGTGCGTAACAAACGATCGTATTACGTCACTCGGCGTCGAATTAAAAAATAATGTAAACTAAATAAAAAAGCTGTCAGGAGTTTTTTTTTAAATAAATATTATTACATATACTTTTTGGTTTCGTTTCTAGGATATTTCAAAAAATAATTAATATAGACGGGATTTCGTCGACTGGTTTGGTTTATTTGTAGCACTAGGAGTCACGTGACGACACGAGAGTGACGCACGAACATCCGCAGTGACAACACATCAGATACATCCACCCGAATTACAGCAAATAACAAAGGATAAAAAGCATATATTCAAGAATAACATGCTCGGTTATGAGTGATGACATGAAGGATCACAAAGCCAAAGCACAATCGTTGCGCGTTAATCGTATTTCTAGGTGGGAATTCGGTTCCGCTTTGGTGCGCTCCAGGAAAAAAAACTAATGGAATAAATATCAACGACAGAATTATGCAGAAATCTACTCACCTTTTCTGTGTGAGCTAGTGTCTTTGTATCGGTTGCATATTAGATCTTTGGAATCGCTTTAGGGAGAGCAGCAGAACTGTGTAGTAAACAGCCTGGCTGCTCTTCTCCGTCTGTGTCTGTCAAGCGAGCGGAACGGACAGAAAGGTTTAACGCTCTGACTCGTAACCTACTGTACCGCTCTGACCAATGAGAAGCCTGGAAAAGACGATTGAGCCCGCCTCCAAGCCCCTTCCAGCCAATCACATCTCTCCTTTATGTGCGTCGGGTGAATTGGATGCGTGTAATGCTGCGTCCCAATGTGCCTACTTATACTACGCCCTTAAAGTATGTACTCTTTTGGTGAAGAAAAAGTACACACTTTTGAGTGTGTAGTAGAAGAGTAGGCAAGCTTTGGGACATACTATCACGCCACACAACTGCGTCTTTAACTCTAGTACAGTACGAAACCGCACAAACTACTTTTTTACAGTCTATGGTACAAACGCGGGTACCTTCTGAAAGCTTCGCACATCCATTTTTGTTGTTTTCACATTAGTCTTCTGTTGTTTTTATTGCCATTCTCTCTTAGAGAAGTTATCAAAAGCCATGGCCCACAGTCAGTTGTGCACGAGAATATAAACCTTTGGGCTATTGATGGGGTCTCTCTTGCATTCAGAAGACCAAGACTTCGTGTTAGAAAATATATAGATAGTTGGTGTTAATTAAGGGATGTCATCTTGTGACAATCTTCTTTTTAAAAGCAGTAGTTTGATTTTTGTATATTTAGATATTTCGCTTCTGAACGGGAGTTTATCACATGGTTCAGAGATTTAGTTTTCTCTTACGTATTTAACAGCACAATATAAAACTGCCTTTATTGTTGTTGTTGTTGTTTTTGGGGCACAAACTACAGGAATACTGACTAAATAATGTGGTCCAGTGCAATGATAATTACTAGTTAAGGCCATTATTTGCTATTTTTGCTCTTACATTCAACCTCAAAACTTGTGTTGTGTAAAAGTGTTGACAATTTGTTTTGAAAGTCTTGGGTGATAATTAATAAAATAATATTGGTGATTTTACCAAGGCACCAGGAAGCTGTGCGATACCACCACAATATGTATCCTCATATTTAAAATGTGGTCTTTTAAGTGAAGAATTAAAAGTTGGTAAAATATAATTTTTATGCACAAATGGCACCATTTTGTGATTTCCTGAGAATGACTTATGGTAGAACAATTCATTTAGCATAAATATTCAGTTAATCAACAATCAGTCATTATCACAGTGTCTGATTCTGACTTTCCTTCATGTTTGGTTTCAGTTCAGTCCAGATGCAAAGATCGAAGTCATCTGGAGCCAGCTGTGTGTCTGTGAGGAGTGACCAGTCACTAGAACCTCCACATCACTTTAGAGGACACTCTGATCTTAGGTCTAGGTAAACACTGTACTAAACATTTATTGGTTCTTCATAAGGTCTGTGATCAAATTAAAAATGATTATTTATCTTGGTTGAAGTAAAATTACAAATTACTAAAGTCGTGAATATAAGAGAGAGTGTGTGTGTGTGTGTGTGTGTGTGTGTGTGTGTGTGTGTCAATTATTCACTTGTCATGTTCATCTTCAATGCACAGACTAGACCCTCCAGCACCCAGCTGTGTGTCCATGAAGAGTGACTGGTCAATGGACACACTGATCCTGGCTTTAGGTAAATGCTGTACACATCATCTGTGTTTACATAAAGAAAGAATTGTTCATTATTGATGTTGTAAAGTGCCTGTATGCAATGCATTTCAGAAGGTATTTACTCCAAAATCTTGTATAACAACCCTGATATGTGGATATGCACTTGCTGTAAAGTCTTAATGGAGTAATTCAGTCACCTGAATCAGTTCATTACAAAAGTCATCAATATAAGAATTGTATATATTACAACTCTTATATTGTCATTATGTTACATTCACTTGTTGTGTCCATCATTAATGCACAGACTGGACCCACCAGAATGACCAGTCACTAGATCCTCCTCATAACTTCAGTGAACACACTGATCTTGGGTCTAGGTAAATACTCTACTAATCCATTTCTTTTATTACATCTGTGTTTAGACGAAGAAAGAATTGTTCGTCATTAATGCTGTAAAGGGTCTAAAGTGGCTGTATGGAACAGATTTCAGAAGATGTTAATTAAAAGATAGAAGACGTTTTATTTATATTGCACAATTTGTGCCTTTCCACAAGTTCAAAGTCTTTTAACAAAAGATACATTGAAGTACATTTAAAGGAAACAACACAAAATAAACACAAAAGCACCAAGTACAATTTATCAAATACATTTCAAACAAATACGTTTGTATAAGTAATGTGAGCGCTGCACCTGGTCGAGGTGAGCACTAGCAGCTGCACTTTATGCATACTGTAACGATATAATGTTTTTCTTTGGTAAGACAGGGAGCCAATGCAGTGTTGACAGAACCAAGCTAATATGGACATACTTCTTGGTTTTATTAAGCTCTCTAGCTGCTGCATTTTGGACCAGCTGGAGTTTGTTTATTAAGCCTTTGGGGCAACCACCTAGTAATGCATAGCAATAATCTAGCCTTGAGGTTAAATGCATAAATTAACTTTTCTGAATTTTACATTGAGAGAGATATATCGTAATTTAGAGATATTTTTAAGATGGAAAAACATGGTTTTACAAATGCTAGAAATGTGGCTTTCAAATGACAAATTGCTGTCAAATAACACACTCAGGTTCTTGACTGACAATGAAGTCAATTTATATCAACTATGAATTCCACTAATTTTGTGAATTGGTATCTTTCGTTGGAAACTTTGAGCATCATCAGTGTAACAGTGAGACACCATGTTTCTTAATATCTCCCAACAGGGTGAAAAGCAATGGTCCTAGTACTGAGACTTGTGGTACTCCATATTGAACTTGTGATTGATATGACACCTCTTCATTTAAATTCAAATTGATAATGGTCAGATAAGTACAATTTGGGTCATGTCAATACAATTCCATTAATGCCAATGTAATTTTTGAGCCTATCCAAGAGAATGATGTGGTTGATAGTATCAAAGGCAGCACTGAGGTCCAGTAACACTAATAGAGAGATGCAAACATGATCAGATGATAAGAGCAAGTTATTTGTAACTCTGATGAATGCAGTTTCAGTACAATGAAATGACCTAAACCTTGACTGGAATTCCTCGCAGATGCCAGTTCTTTCCCAAAAGGAAAATAGTAGTGAAGATAATACTTTTTCTAGTATTTTTGATTGGAAAGGGAGATTTGAAATCAATCTGTGGTTTACATAATTCTCTAGAACCAAGTTGTTTTTTCTAAAAGAGGGTTATTAACAGCCAACTTGAAATTTTTTGGGACATATCCTAATGAGTTAATATTATTAAAAAGTTTCTTACTACTTCCAGAAACATCACTTTTAATAGTTTGGTAGTTATGGGGTCTTCCATATGTAGATGATTTAACAAGTTTAGACATTTCTGCTCCCATTGCAGGGAATGATAAAAAAATCTTTTTTTTAATCTTTTTTTTTGTGTGTGTGTGTCAGGATCAGCAGGAAGAGACCCAAATGCAGAGTGAGTGAATCAAAGATTTATTGAAAACACACAAGTTCACAAAGCACAGGGGTAGACAATCTTGAGGCAGCTCCAACCAGCAGGAAGAGAACTATGCCCCAAGAGATAGACAGTCTGGAGAACAGTCTCAGTTGTTGGCCAAACCAGGCAGAAGAATGGGGAGAAGACCAGAGCAGAGAACAGCAGAGCGTGCCATCAGAGTGAAGGGACCCAAAGCCGGCCAGTATCAGATTAGGGTTCTCAGCACCAGGCTTGGTTGGCGGACTGCCTTGGGGAACCAACAGGCAGGGAGTCTCAGGCTGAGAGAGCAGGACTGGAGGGAACACACAGCACAAAACACATAACAGGACCAAACAAGACGCAACTCAAGACCACAAAGCAACACTACTCAGCACAACACAAGGAGAAACAGCATGATATAATAAAAAGGAAAAAATAACAAGTAAAAAAGAAAAAAGTAAAATAAAAAAACAATAAAAATAAAATAAAAAGTAAATATCTTGTAAGTTTAGACTAATAAATAACTAAAGTATAAAATCCAAGCAATAGCGAGAACACAAGACTAGAAACAAGACTGATGATTAACTAAGAAAACATTACAAGTAAATAAGTAAGAAAACTGAAGATAAAAACCAAAAACAAAGGAGAGAAATCAAGAGCAAAAACTACAGCAAGGATACACAATCACAGTAACCGAGCAAGACTGGAATATACTGTAGAGCAGCAAACCAATAACTGTCTCTATATGGCACAAGACGAACCAGCAAGCATAAGAGGAACAAACAGCACAATATAAAGAGAGGAAAGCACACAGGGCCAGGTGAGCACAATTAAAGAAAAGAGAACAAGAAAAGGGCTAAACAAGAGGGCGTGACCAAGGGAAAAAAGGAGGTGGGACCAAAGGGACACATGGCAGACACAAACAAAGACAAAGCAACGTGTTCAGGCGCAAGACAAAAACAAAAAGAAACATTAAACAAAGGCAACGCAGACAAAGCTGCCAGGGCAGAACCCTGACAGTCGAGATCCTGTAACCCATGTTTATTCTTCCCTTTATAGTTTTGTGTTGGTTTTGGTTGTTTGTGTGTATTGTGAGTGTTGTATTTGGAGCATAGGGTCAGGATCTGGGGTCTGTTATTTGGACCTCGCTTAATACATCTACGATGATTTGACAAATGTCAATCGTGAGAACTGATCTCTGGCTAATTTTGTTCTTCAAACGCATTTGCGGATTTGATTCAAATATCTGGATTAAGTTGTCTGAGATTACTGCATGTTCTTATGTGCTTTTAAAGGGCAGATATATGGCGACAAATGAAATGTTAAGGTTATAATAGATAAATGAAATGTTATATAATATGCATGTACACCATATTCCAATAATTTATTGTTTTAATCTTACAGCCATGACCCTCAACATGCTGAAGCCCTCAAGACATTTAGATCAAATGTGAGGGAAATGTTTGAGTGTCTGTATGAGGGAACAGCAAAGCAGGGAACCCCAACACTCCTGAACGCTGAAGGGAAAGAGAATCAGGACATCCAGCTCATATTTCCACTTCCTTTCAGAGAGCTCAACTTGATGAAGGATGAAAAACTCAGTCTTTTAGATCTTCTGCATGTTTTATTTCCTGAAACCAAAGAAATGAAAATATCAAGTGATGAATATAAAGTGTTGTTCATCTTTGATGGTCTGGACGAGTGTTGTCTTCCCATAAACTTTGACACCAGTGAGACTCTACAGGATGCGACCAAAGAGACGTCAGTGCACATGCTGCTGATGAACCTCATTGTGGGGAATCTACTTCCCTCTGCTCTCATCTGGATCACCTCCAGACCAGCAGCAGCTGATCTCGTCCCCTCTGAGTGTGTCCACCGAGTGACAGAGGTACGAGGCTTCAGTGACCCACAGAAGGAGGAATACTTCAGGAAGAGAATCAGTGATCAGAGTCTGACCGAGAGAATCATCTCACACCTGAAGTCATCAAAGAGCCTCTTCATCATGTGCCACATCCCAGTGTTCTGCTGGATCTCAGCCGCTGTTCTCGAGAAGATGTTGAGTGAAGCAGAGAGTGGAGAGATTCCCAAGACTCTCACTCAAATGTACACACACTTCCTGATCATTCAGACCAGCATCAAACATGAGAAGGACTATGAGAAGAACGTGAAGGATGAAGACATGATCCTCAATCTGGGGAAACTGGCTTTCCAGCAGCTTGTGAAAGGCAACCTGATCTTCTATGAGCAAGACCTGAGCGAGTGTGGCATTGATGTGACAGAAGCATCAGTGTACTCAGGATTGTGCACTCAGATCTTCAGAGAGGAGTTGGGCTTGTATCAGGGGAAAGTCTTCTGCTTTGTTCATCTGAGCATTCAGGAGCATCTCGCAGCTCTATATGTGCTGCTTTCATTCCTGCTGGACAAGAGGGATGTGCTCAATGAAAACCTCAGCTTAAAACATGAACGTGAGTGTCGCACGATATCTGACCTGCATCAGAGAGCCGTGGACAAGGCTTTACAGAGTAAGAATGGACATCTGGACCTTTTCCTCCGATTTCTTCTGGGTCTCTCGCTGAAGTCCAATCAGATGCTCCTGAAAGGTCTTCTGATACATGTTGGAAACATTTCGTATGGCAAAAAGAAAATTGCTGCGTACATTAAAACAGAAATAACAGTGAATCCCTCACCAGAGAAATACATCAATCTGTTCCACTGTTTAAATGAACTGGGTGATCATTCTCTCGTGAGTGAAATCCAGAATTATCTCCGATCTGGAGATCTTTCAAGCACCAGATTGTCCTCATCACAGTGGTCAGCTGTTGTCTTTGTTTTGTTGACCTCAGAGCAGTCAGATAAGTTTGATTTGAGTAAGTACGTCAGCCGCGAGTACAACCAAAACCACATGTCACCTGATGACGTTTTTCTGAAGCTCTTGCCTGTAGTTGAAGCCTCCAGATCAGCTCAGTAAGTAGCACTGACTGTAATTTTCAGATGTGTGTGAACTGTAAGTGCTTCTCTATTCTTTATCATCAATGGTAGTGTTAATTTAACCTGATTTTTTTTTGTTGATACAAGACACTTGGGTGTCTCTTCCTTTCCACATTAACAGTGAACTTGAGATTAAGATGCTAATTTAAAAGCTTGGTATTTGAATGTCTGTCACTGTAAATGTCTGTGAAACCTCATCCATTGGTCTTCCAGTAAGACTATCTCTAAACTTCTAATGTATAGTAAACTTTTGAAAACTTTTGTATATTATGCTAAATCTGGCATTTGTGCTATAGCTTGATTTTGTTTAAACCACTTTTGATTGATTTACCCAATAAAAGAGCCCTATTTGAGGTGTTTACATGATTTTACACATTGATTAGGCATTAATTCCGCAAGTATAAAATGTGCAAATTATTTGTATTGATTGACAGACACAGTACAGATAAAACATGGCAAACACAAATACCAGCAAACAAATAAAAGCATTCTAGAAAATTATTATAAAAGATCAGTCAAAAAAAAAATGTTTTAAATGTGGCGAATATTGAAAATCCTGTTTGCATTAGACATTGTAGAATTACTATTACTTTGTTTTTGCTTTGTGACACTGTGCACATTTGAATTTTATGGTTGTTGCCACCACTGTAATCACTGTGATTGTTGATGGAGCCCAATGTTAAACTGATCTTTGTGTCTTGAGCGAAGAGAGTGAAGAGTGTGTCGTTGTTCTTCAGGGTGAGTAATTGTGGCGTCACAGATGAAGGTTGTGCTGCTCTGTGTTCAGCTCTGAGGTCAAACTCCTCACACCTGAGAGAACTGGATCTGACACTGAATACTCTAGAAGATGCAGGTCTGACGCTGATCTCTGAAGGACTGAAGGATCCTCACTGTAGACTGGAGAAACTGATGTAAGATCATACATTAATCTCAGCCGAAATGATTAGATATATTACACCAAGTGTGTGTAATCATAATGTTGTTCAGATCACAGTGTTTTACATGAACACACAATAAAACAAAAGTAAACAAAAACTAATAAAAACATGAAACCCACACAGATTTGGGATTTAATATCATAGCCTCTCTGTGTTTGTGTCATTGTTCTCTGCAGGTTGAGGGATTGTGGCGTCACAGCTGAAGGTTGTGCTGCTCTGGCCTCAGCGCTGAGATCAAACCCCTCACACCTGAGAGAACTGGATCTGTTTGGGAATAAACTGAGACGGTCGAGTGTGAAGCTGCTCTCTGCTTTAAAAGTTGATCCACATTATAAACTGGTGATGCTGTTGTAAGTAATGATTCGTGTATCATATAATAATGTAATTTGAACTATCAGTCCCCTGTACGGTACAGATATGTGTCAGTAGTAATGCTCCATAATGCATCTGTTACTGTGTGTTTCATTTTGTACTGATAGGTATTAAATGATGGTGAACATGGGATCACGACAGACTCATTACGGCCAACAGAATCAACAGAACTGATGTCACAGTGAACAAGTGCTGATGTGTGTGCGGTTTACGGGACATATTTTACTAGTTGGGCTACTAAGGTAATTTCATATTAGTATTTCATATTAGAGTTTAGAGTAAAATCCGATACAACTTTTTTATTAATATTAATATCAGAGAACAATTATGTAAATGTTATGCCGTATAATATGATATGAATTAATTTGATATAAAAAATTATGTACCTGTAGTAATATGATGTAAAAGTAAAATTAATGTTTAGGTTATATTTAATTTCATTCTCTTAAGACCATTGTTTACTGTAAAACACTGCCTCATACCCTATTTTTATGTTTTAATTATATTGTGCACTGTTTTGTAAATATCAAATCAATGCATTGTTTATGGGAATGAATCAACAGGATGGTTTTCACACTCAAACTCTCTGATCTACATATTATTAATTGAAATCAGCTAAACCTGTAATAAGGACTGTAAAAAGATGGACTAATGAAGCAGAGCGGGATTTACAAGCCTGCTTCGACTGCACTGATTGGAGTGTTTTTGAAGCGAGAGACTGTAACTTCATACATCAGTTTCTGTGAGGATATGTGCATCCCCACCAGGACATTCTTATCATTCAATAACGATAAACCGTGGTTTACTGGGAAACTCAAACAGCTTTGTCATGCCAAAGAGGATGCTTGCAGAAGTGGGGATAAAATCTTGTACAACCAGGCCAGAAACAGACTGACAAAGGAGATCAGAGTGGCTAAAAAAACCTACTCTGAAATGCTGAAAAACCAGTTTTCATCCAAGGACCCGGCGACAGTCTGGACCATCCTGAGGAGCATCACCAAGTACAAGACACCACCCCGCAGTCTGTGGAGATTCTGGAGAATCAACAACTGGCTGACGATCTGAATGTGTTTTACTGCTGATTCAAAAAGCTCAGTCTCCGGTCCACAAAAAACCCAAAATCACTGGACTTAATGATTATAGACTTGTCGCTCTCTGTGGTCATGAAGTCATTTGAGCGGCTGGTCCTGGCCTACCTGAAGGACATCACTGGACCCTTGCTGCATCCTCTTCAGTTTGCCTACAGAGCAGGTCTGTGGATGATGCAGTCAACATTACATCCTGCAACACCTCGACAGACCTGGGAATTAATTATGCAAGGATCTTATTGTGGACTTCAGTTCGGCCTTCAATACCATCATGCCTGACCTTCTCTCAGACAAACTGACCCAGCTCTCCGTACCCACCTCCATCTGTCAGGACTGCTGAGAGGATTATTGGTGCCCCCTGCCTAACCTCCAAGATCTTTACACCTCCAGAGTGAGGAAAAGTGCTGGTAAAATCACTCTGGGCCCCTCACACCCAGCACACTCCCTCTTTGAACGGTTGCCCTCTGGTCGGCGCTACAGAGCACTGAGCACAAAAACAGCCAGACACAAGAATAGCCTTTTCCCAGCACATGTGAACAACACATAACACATCTCAGACTGTACATCTGTAAATAGCACATATGCACTTTCACAATTCTGTCTGTATCTCACAATCACAATCTCTATATTTTATTACCAATTATATTTTTATTTATTGTCTATTCTCTTTATTATTAGTGTTTTATTTCACTTTATTACTTTAAATTATATGTATGTCTGCACTATGTCTGTACTGGAAGCTCCTGACACCAAGACGAATCCCTTGTGTGTGTAAACACACTTGGCAATAAAGCTCCTGATTCTGATATTCAGTAGTCAAAGTCTGGCGGCAAACATGTTTAGTATGTGTTTCATGGCCTTAAAAATTCATTTTACTACCTAAGTTTAAACTTGCATGCTTGTTGCTCTAATATTATTGTAACACAATTTGTTCTGAATACTAATGAGACTGTTGTCATTAATATGGTGTAAGTATACTAACATAAGCACAAAGAGCATGTGATGTGAAAACATCTCCAGGGCCTAAAAATACCTAACCGGTGGTTAATTTATATATGTTCAAAACTCTCTTTATGATATTTCTATTAAGGTTTATAATGTATATAAATGTAAATGATTTTTGTGTGTAATATTTATTGAACACATCATTCCTCAGTGACGTGAGCAGCTGAACAGAATGGAGTTTGGAGCTGAGTTTAATGTCTCTGTCAAATGTCATCTTCAGGTTTGCTCATTTGATGAGGACAAGAAGTTAATTTTTGACATATTTGCCTTTCTCAGATCTTCCTGCCTGCATGAAAGTGATGTGTGAAATATGAAAGACCGTTTCCTGAATAAAAAATAAAAAAGGTAGGCCTAAATGCGAGTTTACATCTATGTTTTCACACAATTGCGAGAGAAAAAAGTTAGAATTATGAGATAAAAAGTCACAATTTCCTTTTTTTTCTTCAGTAGATGAAACAGGCTTCCATAGTGAAAAGCTAGTGGTTAGGGTTAATTTTAATTATTCATAGCAAGAGTGTTATTAATTTATGCAATTGTTATGCAGATATTGTCTAAAATAAAATATCATACATCATAGAGGACCTATGTTTAAGCAGGCTATATCTCTTAAAGGTGCCATGAGTATTTAAATCAGTGTTTATTACTTTCTGCGTAAATCAGGCTCATTCATTCAGTGATATTTGCTGGCCGCAAACAAGAGGCCTTAACAGAATTGTAGAAATGTTTGTGTACATTTACCAGTGATGTTATGCATTAAGTTGATCAAATGAAGGGTATTATTATTTCCAGATCCCAGCAAGCACAGTCAAATAATGATAATTAAGCTACAAAAACAATCAGCATAAAAATCTTTTTGCTGAGTGAACCTTTTTCCTTTAGCTATGAAAAAAGACGATATGTACAAATGGCACTACTAGATTAAAATGGCAAAACACCTGGCAGTCATGTCTGTGTTTTGTTTGTCACATCGATGTGATCGGCGCTCCTCTGCTCTTCCTGGCACTCAATCATCATCGCGCTCTGGCATCCGCACATCTGCCTGTGGATCGCGGAAGCAGAAGTCGCTAGACATAAACGATAACAGCGTTTTGATATCGTTTTAAGTGGATTATTCTCAAATTTAGTGATCTTCATGCACATTGAAGACCTCTTAATGACTCTGTAGCGGCAGAAGACGCTGTTTAAAGGATTAAAAGGTATGTGAGAGTCTGATGTGTTTGAGTGTTTTCTTCTGGTTGATGTTTATATGGCAGTGTTTCATGTTTCTCTATTAATATTAGTTTTTTTTACTGTCATAACTAAGAATTTAATGCGTTCTAATGATACAAATGGTCATCATGTGTGTTATAAAATCTGGTAAACATCCATTGAATTGACTGTAACATCTATTGTGTTTTTAATTGATCAGGATGCTTTGTTATACAGATCTGCTGGATTTGACATTGCTCATTGATTCTGATTAAATGATCAAAGCCTTTGAATACACTACCAGGCATCAGATTTAACAGATGAGAGACTGCCACATGTGCATAGAGATAAACACAGTCTTTGAACCCTCACAATCATGATCTCTGATTTCCCAGCATGCAGTGCACAGCCTCCCCTCCTCAGGACCCCACACAGGCGAGCGGCGACCGGGCCGAGCTGACCCAGCTGCCCGCTAAAGACGCGTCCTCCACAGACAGCACCTCTGATCTGGGCAGCCCCAGAGTGCTGACCTTTGACCTGCTGAACATGGTGATCTGCTTCAAGCGGATGGCCATCTTCCTGGAGCCCGTCACAGACTCGCTGGAGGTGCTGCGGTACCTGCTCGGGTGAGAGACATCCCATAATAATCAGAACGGCTTCTGCCAGGTGACTGTATCATGTGACTCTCATGAGAAGGCTTTTGTTTTTACTCCAGCCGGTTACTAAACGCATCTCTGAATTATTGATCCTGCTGCCTGCGTGTATCCAGTATTCAGCTCTTTTATTTTTAGGTGGAGGATGCCGCTGTGCTCCCTGTTCAGCTGCGTTCTGCTCAACATCCTCTTCCTCACTTTGAGTGAAGGTGAGATACGAGAAGATGACATGTCTATGTGTGCATATATATTGTATACAGATGTACTATAATGCAGTAAGTGGTAACTGAGTGTCTCCTTGGTTAAAAATGTCCTCAGGCGCTTGGGTCACTCTGCTGCTGCTTGCCGTCTCCGCTCCGGCTGTGCTGGGTTACCTTGGCAACCGTTGCCAGGGCACGAGCAGTGAGATGGAGGTTCAGAAGAAGAAACACTTTGCGGTGCAGCGGCGAGACCTGCAGACGGTCCACATGAGCAAACAGGAGGCCATGCTGGAGGTCAAGGACATGTGAGTGGACGACACAGTGATGTTTGAGTGATGAGATCAGCGCTGAGACTGAGAGATGAAGGCTTGTGTGTGTTACAGGCTGAAACGAATAGATGAGCTTTTGACACTGGCGTGTGTGTATGCAGAATCTGTGTATAAAGTGTTATACTGGGAGAGCCACGCCATGTCCTCCATGTGAGTATCACGCACATAGAAGCACATATGGATGTTCCTTGGTGGAAAATTTCTGCCAGTTTCTGCCAAAATAGTCAATACAGATATTTTTACTTTATGTCGTCAGTGAACTTGGTATTAACTACCACTGTCAACAAAAGAATTAAATAATATGATGAAAATCATATGATATGAAAAAGTTCTATTTATGTCTTTCTTCAGATAAAATATGAACAAAATCAAAAACTTAGCCAGGGAAGTTTCTGAATTTTGGTTGATTTGACACGGAATGACTCTATGGTATTTTGGCAGAAATTATGGTTACTATGGTACATTTTTGTAAAAGATTATGTATAGTGCAGCAATACTAACCTTAACGATAACGGAAGGACACCAACTGTAATTTACACATACACAGGGTTCGTACAGTCATGAAAAACCTGGAAAAGTCATGCAATTTTAAAACGGCCTGGAAAAGTTTTGGAAAAGTCATGGAAATTTATTTCACAAATCTCTGTATAATAGAATTCAGTAGTGAACCGAAGGCAAATTAGTAGCATTAATAGTCATTCATTTTAGTTAACATATGCTATGATGAATTTGAACATAGATTTTTATTCTTATTTTACCTGTATGCTTGTAAAAAAAATGGAACATTAGGTCATGAATGTTGTCTCAAAATGTCATGGAAAAGTCATGGACATTTATTGGTAAAAATGTGTCCAAACCCTGTGTATAATGTAATATTATTCATACAGTTAATGTTGTTTTGGTCTATTTTCTGTTATCTTTGTTTTAATTTGTAATGCAAAACGTCTAATAAAAGCAAAAAATATCAGTTAACTGTAAGGATTGTGAAGGTGATTGTAATGAGTGTTATTCTGTGTGGAGGTTTTATGGTTCTGTCCTGACGGCAGTTTGCTTGCTGTACATGGTTCCTGTGGGTTTGAGTCTGTCTGTGCTCAACAGCGCCCTCTTTCTGTGGAACAGAAACTTCTGCAGAGGTCAGTAAATGAGTGAATGCAAGACTGGGCACTTGTTGGTCAGAAGGTCTCTTCAGCGTTTATTGCTTCAGTGTGGATCAGACTTTATGCTGATATTAAAAAGATTAGTGAATATATATATATACAGATTCAGTATTTTCATTCAGTTTCAATAAGCTAGACATTCTCACACAGCTTCCTTTCTCTTGTTCCCTCTAGCTCTTTTGGAGCTGAAGGAGTTCGTTCACCCAAGTCGAGTCCAGCCTGCGGAGGAAACTGAACCATGTGACCCAGATCAGTCAAACCTGCTGGAACGCACACCCACTCCAACCAGTGTGGAGGTGAGAGAGAATTAAAACATACACACTTGCTACAACCATAAAACACTTTAGACCAGGGGTGCCCAAACCCGGTCCTGGAGGGCTGCTGTTTATGTTTATGCAGGACACCGGCCCTCCAGGAGCGAGTTTGGGCACCCCTGCTTTAGATTAGGGTTGTGACGGTGAGGAAATTTTCCCACTGGTTAAACGACGTGTGACAACACCGGTAATACCGGTATCACCGCGGGGGTGTTCCCTCTTTTTCTCGCTTTCCTTCGCTTTTAAATAGCTTGTAAAAGCGGCGTGCGCATTTTACTTTCACTTTCAAATAGCGGCAATTCGGCGTAAAGCAATTGTTCGTTTTTAGTT